TGGGATCTTGGGCATGCATGCACATGCACCTGTCGTGACTCTTAAGCCACCAGGTCTGGGACTCGAACTACGGTTGACTATGTGGGAGCCCAGCAACAACTATTATGCCACCTGCTGGTGCTAGTACAAACTATATTTTCTTCACCAAGTAGGTAATGAAAGAAAGTTCTTCAGAGAAGCATTTCCTTAATAAGTGAACACTATAAAATGACCATCTGACAATCTTTAATGACACCATGGTTCTAGGCAACCATCATCGATGGACACTACACCGTTGGAAGACAGTTTGATGTGAACTGCGAGATGGAGGCTCACACACTGACCCTACTGATCTACCGCAGTCTTACTTGAACAGAGTAACCATACACCTTCTACCTGTGGGCCTTCAGATATGACGTGGCAGGGTGGACACAGCACCACCCACAAAATATTCCTGCTAACGGGGTGAACTCAGCTGAACCACCACTTAGATCCAGATCTATCAACTTAACAGGGAACAAGGAAGACAGAGGAACAAATTAAACACCATGTCTAGAAAGCAACAAGCCAAATCTAGGGCAAGTTTCTTGGGGGAAGAAAGGAAATCAGCGGTTCAAGAAAGGGTGGTGGTAGGGAAGTATTTCAAAATAAAAGGCTAAAGACTAAATACAGGGACCTTGATTTGTCCTTTTTACAATCCAACTGTAAAAACACATCTTTGAGACAATGGAAGTAACTGAATATGATCTGTACATCAGATGACATTAAGGAATAATTATGAATTTTGATAGGCATGAAAATGGTATGATGGTTAATAAACAAAAAAGTCTTAATCAGTTTTAAAAAATTACCTCCAGCAGGAAAAGAAAGAGGGAGGGAGGAAATCAATGACATTTTTATACCTTATCAAGCTCCTCTACCCATCCTTCGCCTCATAAAAGATAAAGAATGTCTCACATTCCTATGGATTCCTTCTTAAGACTAAATAACAATATACCTGTATAAATAACTAATCCAGTACTTCCCTACCTTTTTCAAGATACAGAACACTAAAAAAAACAAAAAACAAATGTGAATGGCAAACTGCACAAATGAACAAGATTCCTCGTGGCCACAGGTAACCAACCTAAGAGTCCTGGCAGCGTTAGGCCTGACCCAAGGGCAAAATCTGCTATATTTTGGCATACCTGCGCCCCCAGTGCGGAACACAACACACCAACTGGGAAGCTCTAGCTGACCTTCCCTCTAGGACACCTTTCTAAGAAACTTGACTTTTGTGGGGATACACAGCCTGTCACAGAGCTGGTTTAAGAAGACAAAACACGTGTGCAACTGTGCTTACACATCTAATGGCCCTCTGACTCTGTGATTTTTGCCTTTCACACTTTTGTAGCCTAATAAGAATTAACTACTTGCTGCTAACAAGAAGTAAAGAGATTCTGGTATGGCAATGACAAAGAGGGAGAGGACAGAAGCCTTTTAGTATTCCTGGAACATCCATGCCACTAAAAAGAGAGAGAGAGAGAGAGAGAGGGAGAGAGGAGGAGGAGGAGGAGGGGGGAAGGGGATAACCTCGGGACCAGTATACGACAGTTCCACCGCCATTTTGATGTCCTTGACGCATGCAGATGGTATGGAAGTGCCTGGCACCAGAATAGCCCATGAGAAGGAGTGAGCGGCCAATGGAGATTTATGTGAGGAGAGTGAGATGGACAAGGTAAAATTGTCAGGAGGAGTTGTTAGAAAGTAAAATATATTGTGACAATTCCACTCCTGCCGTTCATCAATAAACTGACAGATCATTTAGTGTCAATTAGGAGTGATAGATGGACAAGTCCCCATGATCCTGGGCCAAAATTAATGGCTGGGAGGGAGAGGGTGATTGAAAATGACGGCTGACATTGAGAGCAAAGTCCTGAAAGTCCCTGAGGGGCCATTACTTGGCTCATTCCCTTGCAGATCAATGCAGGGACAAACCCAAAAACAGACACTTTGAGACAAAACTTAATCAGACTACCTTTCTTTCCTCTCCTTACCAACTCTGGTTCCCTCTCATTCAGCTCTATTCCCTATGGCCAAGTCAGTGACCCATCAACGATGTGTCCCAACTCAGCAACTTTAGAGCCAAGGACAGTTGGCTCCAAAATGGAATCTCTGGCATGGCTCTTACTTTGGTGCTAGAAGGGACAGGTAGTGATCTCAGGTCCCAGGTAATTCATGAGTTCAGCCCCTTCTTCTGGCTCAAGGGTACGCATGAGAGTTCTGGCAGCCAGTATCTCTAGCCAGTAAGATGGCTGGCACCTGGTCTACTCTCCATCTTGGGCAGTACAGTACAAATAAAGACATCCCAGAAACTCATACTCCTTGGTTATGAGCTCTTCAGTAAGATCCATAAAAAGCCCTTCTATGTCCTACTGGTGACAACATTGCTGCAGACCTCTCTAAGTCTCGCTTTCCTCTCATCTTCCCTATAGAGAGACAACTACCTTACAGAATGGGAACCTACCCAGCAGAACACACACAAAGGCCTGCTAATAGAATAAGTATTTGTGTCTTCCTCCAATTCTTATGTTGAAACCTTAATGTCCAATAGTATACTTGGAGGTGGGACCTTTGGGAGGTGATTAGATTTAAATGAGGTCCTGAGGGTGAAGTACTCCTGATGGGGAGAGGAAGAGACATTAGATAGCTCTCCCTGACAACCTGTACTAAGGAAGGAATGTGAGGACATAACCAGGAAAACCACCCTCACGAAGATCAGGTGATGGTATCCTGATCTCAGACTTCATGTCTCCAGAATTGTGAGAGAGAAAAATGGAAAAGTCTGCTTATTTCTCTTCCTGAAACACAGAATAGTTATCCAGTAAAAGGCCAGAGGTCTTCTTGGGGAAAGACGGTAGAAAGATTAACAATATAAATTTCTGATGGTATACCAGAGTCCCACCTTAAAAGGGCCTCTTCTCCCTTCCTTCAAGTGTTCTGGGTCTATAACCTTGTTCAAGTCTGGGCATTGACTGAAAGGTTGAGATTCTGTTTCTATGATTTAAGTTAAGACTTCTTTTTTTCTTTTTCTTTCTTTCTTTTTTTTTTTTTAGGTTTTTGCCATTGGGTGACTGCACTTGGCAGAGAGAGAGAGGGAAAGTGAGAAGTCAACCCCCAGGAGGAATGCCCACACAAAAACCCCTGGATTCGGGGCATTCTCTCTCTCTCTCTCTCTCTCTCTCTCTCTCTCTCTCTCTCTCCCCCCCCCACCCACAAACACACTACACAACACACATGGCATGATTTTCAAGCAGCCGGGTCTAGGACTCCAATCGCAGTCAGCCATGTGGGAATCCAGCACCTTCACCACCACTGCCACAGGTCTACACTCAGATTACTCTGACTATTGCCTCTGGTGTCTATCATGGTAACTACACCTACCTTGCCTTTGGTAGCTGCATACTACCACTTGGTCCCAGTCACTCGGGATCCAATTATTACCACTGCATTTAAGTTTCCCAACTGAGTTACCACAGTCCCCACTGTCATGTCTGGCATATCGAGAAGAGCAATCGCACAGTTCCTCAGAGATGCAGGTACTCCCCTCGCAAACTTGTCTGTCAGAGTGTAGGTGAAAGGTTTATTTTCTGAACCGTCATGGCACAGGTGAGTAGGTTTCATGTGTCAAATCAATTGCAGCATTCCGATCTCCCTAAGCTTTTGATCCAGTGAGATAATAGCAATATTATGGTACCAATATTTATGTCCGCTTACAGCACTGCTTACTACAAACACGAGACATCAATTAGGCAGGATAAAGGTACATCTCTACTGCTATTCTCTATGAAAAATGCTGGGTTATCAGGAAAGTCATGATGCATTTCTACATAGAAAAATATGTCATGACTTTCCTGACAACCTAATAATATTAATTGGGGGGGAAATTTACTACAAAGTTCATCAGCAATTACTAATAGATGGTTTAATACAGAAAATTACTTTAAAAAAAACACAGAATAGGGTCACTGAACCTGGCACCCTGAGAAACACGCCAGGCACATGTGTGTGCATGCCCAGGATCCCCAGAGGAGAAAGAAGAAGGGACTGTAGCGTGGGGTGATTTAGCATTTTCCATCTCTCTCTCTGTCTCTATCCATCACCCCACCCCCAATGAGCAAAAAAAAAAAGAATGGAACCACCAGTTGGCATAATGGCTATGTCACTGGACTCCCATGTAGTCGACCACAATTCAAGTCCTGGACATGGTGACTTAAACTTATGCCAGGCACGTGTACATGTGTGCCCAAGATCCTGAGAGGAGAATGGAGGAGAAGGGATTGTTGCGTGGTCATCCCCCCGGGGCGTGATTTCTCGCTTTCTGGTGAGCGCACATGCCCTATAGCAAAAAAAAAAAAAAAACAAAAAAGAATATTACAATATCAGTGAATCTTGCAAACATAATGCCAAGTGAAAGAAGCCAGTTTTAAAGGACCACATAATGTATGATTCCACTTACAGGAAACTCACAGAGACAGGTGACTGGTAGTTGCCCTGGGCTGGGGAGACTGGGAGATATGGGATGTGACTGCTAATAGGTATAGGGTTTCTTTGGGAGCAGGTGATGAAAATGTTTTAAAATTGATTATGGTGATAGTTGTACAATTCTGTGAGTATATTAAGAATGATTAAATTGGGGCCAGTAGGTGGCATGTTGGTTAAGGTGCTAGATTTTCACGTGGCCAACTGTGGTTTGAGTCCTGGACCCGGTGGCTTGAAAATCACATTGGGCGCATGTGTGTCCAAGATCCTGAGAAAAGAAATAAGGAGAAGAGATTGCAACATGGCCTTCCCCCCTAAGGGGATGATTTCTCATTTTCTCTGTCCTTTCTCCAGGGAGCACTCACACCCTATGGGAACGGGTAAATTGTGTGATGTATGAATTATACCTCAATAAATTCATTATATAAAATAAAACAACATCATGATAACAAAGTCCCTATCCCCCACCCACCCCACTCCTGTGAGCTGCTACTACTCACTTTGAATTCTTCATGGAATCATCCGCCCAGCCTCCCTGTCTTCTAGGTGGTTTGGGAGGGGGAGCCTATGGGGAGAGAGAAGCCAAAATAATAAGTCATTAAACAATTGCATTTAAATACCAGAATGGCTGAGGTTAGGGACACCTACACCAATATTCAGCCTACGTTTTTCTTCCCATAACATTTATGTATGTATGTATGTATGTATATACGTATGTATTTCAAGCCACCTGATCTAGGCCTCAAACCAGTCAGTCATGTGGGAATCCAGTGCCTTAACCACCATGCCACCTGCTAACCCCTCAGTCTACCTTTTGAATAAAATATGGTAAGTTTTCTAATTCATTATGAAAATCCGGGTGTCTCCACACCTCCTGGTGGGTGTATGAATTGGCACAATGTTTCTGGAAGGTAATTTGAAGATGTCTGTTGAATGCTCCTACCTTCTGAACCAGCAATTCTAATGTCGGGAATTTATCCCAAAGAAATAATCAGAGAGGAACATAATGTTATTTTTGAATAGTGAACAGTTAACAACAACCAAAATGGCCAGCAATAAGGAATTAAATGGTGGACTATGCATGAAAATACTATGCACATAATGAAAAACTATGCTGCAAAAACAACCAATGATATGAGAAAGTTCAGTATGCATTAATTTTCAAAAACATGTTACAAAACAGTAGATAAACGCTTCTGATTTTCTTAAATGGTTAGTAGTACATAATATCTAGTGTTAATTAGCTGTATGTATATGACTAGGAACAGCCTCCAGCTATGGGCAATTTTAATTTTTCATCTCTGTGCTGTTGCACATTTTCCAATTTTTGAAAAAGTTTATGTCTTCCAAGAGCAAGAGAGACAAGAGACACAGAGACAAAGACAGGTACCTCCAAAAGGGTTTTGACACCACAATCTATATCCAGCCTCAGCCGGCCTGCCTCATGGGCATACACACACCCAGCATGTAGTGAGGCCTCTAGACATGAACCCAGGACCTTCCAAGCTTCACAGAGCACTGTATTCCCACCGAGCCACTATCCAGCATTCCCATTCTTTTAACAGTATATATTGCAGATATATAAAAGTGAAGCTTGCTTAGAAGACACAAACTAAATTGGGAGGTCAAACATCTACTCAACAGTTGGTCCTGAGGGTGAAAGCAAGTTTATTAAGTGGACAGAATAGACTACTCCAAAGGTGGAGCAGCCCTGTGAGAGGAGATGGGTGAACAGATTTATTCTTTCCTTGGAGAAGAATGGGAGAAACATTATCTGAAAGGAAAGACAGCAGGGCTAAACACAGGCAGGGCTGGAAGTATGATCTCTTTTTCCATGTTCAGTTAGCACCCTTGAAAGTGTGTCTGTATGTTATCCCTAATCCTGCTTCACTCCCAGAGGCTGGCCCCATGGACATGAAGGGTATGGCCCTTGAACTAGGCTCTCAGAGCTCGGATTGTCTGCTGCTCTCCTTGTTCTAGATGCTGGAAGGACAGAATGAATCTGAGTAAAATTCATGGCTCCACAATGTCAGGAGTGCTCAAGTCTCTTTGGGAAGGTTTCCAATGCCATAAGATGCCAAGAGGCCATTAAGAAGGGAAAAAGCCTATCTTCCCTAATACCAACTCCATGTTCAATGTGAGGTATGGATTACAATGGTGACAGAAGCAGCAGAACCTGACTGGGCAGAAATAATGAAAGAGTACGTAGCATGGGAAAGGAAGGTAAGCCACATAAACCTTATGCCAAATGTACTCCCTAGAGGAACTTCTGAATCTACTGAGGGACTGAGTGAGTGACTAAATGGGAAGGGCTTGGACTCGTACCTGGCACGTAATAAATACTCTACCTTTACTGTTATATCACTGTCATCATTGTTTCTATTGCCATTATATGAAAGGCTAGACCATGTATAATAAAATGTACAAGCCAGCTCAGTAGCACAGCAGTAATGCATTGCTCAAGTGAAGCTGTCCTGGGTCAAACCGTATACACTGAGTACATGTGCCCATGATCCTGGCTGGGAAGGTCTAGAAGGCTGGGAGGACGGACTATGGCATGAGATGCTGTGGGGGATGCTTGTTTTTTTTTTTTTACTTTCTTTCTCCAGAAATAAATTAATTAATTTAGAAAATCTTTCTTTAAAAATACAATGGGGTTAGCCTGTGGCATGATAGTTAAGGTGTCTGGATCCCTCATGGCTGACTCTGCAGTGCAAGTTCCAGACCTAGCAGCCTGAGAAACATTCTAGGTATGTGTACATTCATTCCCAAAATCCTGAGAGGAAAGAGAAATGGAGAAGAAGGGAATGAGGCATGACTATTCCCTGTCACAAATGATTTCTTACTCTCTCTCTCTCTGATGAGTGTACATGCCCTCTGACAAAATTTTATAAAAAAGGGAGAGAGAAAAAAATACAATGTGTAACTGTTATAAAAAAAAGAAAGACTCCTTTGAGCCTGGCCTAAACTACGGTTTGACTATCAATGGACACTGTATACTTAATAGATTTCCTAAGATTCTAAAAACTAAAATGGTCTATTTCGTCTTCTTTAACCACAAACTCTAAGAAGCCACGGCCTCTGGGATAGGGATGAGTGAAAATTCTTCCCGCCTAGAGGTAACACTAAGCTATGTTTTCTGTCATTTTCTATGTGCTACAAAATGGTACCAGTCGCTTCAAAACAAAATGGTCATCACATAAAAGTCACTCCTCCATAGCCAATACAGTTTGAAAAGTAGTTCTAAATCAAAGTTTCTTTTTCTTTCCCCACTAATGACTGATATACCTTCAGGAGTTGACATACTACTGTAAAAGCTGTGTTAAGTTATTTTTCATTGAGAATGAGAACATTAAGATCACCTGGGAAAGGGAGAGTTGTAAAGAAATTTTCTGGGAAAAACAGGGCAGGGGCTATCATACCCCTCTTTGCTTCCCACTGAGAATCATGGCAAACCTCAGGAGAAAGCACTGAGGCAGACAGGAAACAGGAATGGGCAACTGAACTTAGCTTTCTGCTAAATGCAGGCTTGGTCTTTTAGAGGGAGATGTCCATCTCCTGAGGGGAATCCTAGCATTCATGATTTAGTGCTGAGTCCAAGGATTAGAAATATTTTTGTGGGGTCAGATTGTAACACGGTGATAAAATACGATGCTCTGTGAGGCTGATCCACAGGTAAAGGGTTCAGGTTTATGTCTGGAGACTTCCCCGGGTATGCCAGGCACATGCCCATGATATGGAGATGGCTAAGGTGCCAGGACCCTGTTGGCAGTGCTTTCTCATGTTCCTCCTGCTCATTGAAAATATAAATAAATAAACTTTTAAAAAAGAAAGAAATCCTTTGATTCTTCTTATGGCCACAGACAGATACCCTGTCTAAATGAGACAGAATTAACCACTATTACCAAGTTATGATGGCTCGTCTCCAGAATTCAGCTTTGTCCCTCATGTGGGAAACTGAGAATTGCCCCAAAGGTACTAGGCAAAACAGAAAAAGTAGAAAATGTCATTTCTGTTACCAAATATTGCTCAGCTCAATAGGCCAAAAAGAAGTAGCACTCGGGATGCACCAGGTCTGTATGAATCCATATGATCAGATGTCAGGCTTACCCTAACACCCAAGAAACCGCGATGAAGACAGGAAGTAGGGATCAATGATGGCGGGACAGATAGCAGTTCCAGGGAGAAGACATAGCCCAGTCCAAAGGTGAAGCTAAAGAGGAATCCCTCAGTCAAGGGGCAGCTCTGCAAACATCTGGAGTTTTCTTGACCCCTTGGTGGTTTTTATTGGGCCACTTTCTCCAGGGGCACCATTAAGTCAGTGCTCCAATAAGTACAAAGCTTGCAATACATAGTTAAAGGCAACTTGGAAAGTGCCGAGAAGGAGAGGTCAAGAAAGCTTTATGAGAAAGTGGGACTGGCCCTGGATTGGAAATGTAAAGGAGAAACATTCCAGAAGCAACCAGACCCAAAGGTGTAGTGATACCAGGGATAGAAATGTTCATTCATCACTATATTGGTAAGGGTCCCCAGGAAAGCATCTCTAGGGGTCTGAGCCTCTCAGCACCTATTACTTTACAATGCAGCCTGAAGTAGAAGCTAATGCAACTTGATCACAATGCAGGTTTCAAATTCAGTGTCTGAAATGGAAGTCTATGACTGGCTTTTAACAATATAGTTTAAAACGTCTGGAGGATTCCTTTTGCATGGGCAGTCCAGCACCTGAATGCCTAGTTTCTTTGCCTAAAAGTTGGATGACTTCTAGACAGAGTTAGCTCTGTCTCAAAGACAGCCCCGCTGGTGTCTCCCTAGGGCAAACTGGAACACAGGACACACATCTAGGCCAAGCCACTGCTGTTGTTCCCTTCAGGACCAGGTGCCAGAACTGCTGTGCTTTCCCTTCCCAGAAGTGACAGATCAGATGGTGGGGGACCTGAGTGCCCTCTCTAGCTTGAGGTCAGAGCTCTATTCCTTGCCTGGGGTAGTGACAAGCTGAAAGCTTTTAGTGAGAGATCTTACTATGTGGGCCTGAGATCCTTCTGTTTTCTGCTCATCACAGGAGATAGGGACACATGATTTATCTGTTCTTGAATCTCGTATGTCGATTTCTTTATGTAATAACCTACTCTAAAGGAAAAAGAATTTACTCCCACTCCAGTCTTGAAACTAGAAACTTGATCTTCAGCAGACAGGTTAAGACATGGCATTTTTCCCCCTGGAGCCCACTTACTGAAGTCCTTAACCAAGCATGTAGGAAGATACTCCCATTCGCTTGAAGTAGCACTTTCGAAGAAAACTCTTTGCTATCCCTGTGTTAGGGAGGAGGGAAAAAAGAAAACCAAAACTGGATGAGAGAGAGAAATTAGAATTCAAACGACCTTAAACATCAGAAAGAAGAAAGGCCTGATTCTAGAATTCAGAAGTCCTGGTTTATTCTTTAGATTACTCCACTTGTAAAATTCAGAGGCAAAGCCCCCAGACATCAGCTGGAAAAGCAATTTCCAATTTTGGCTTACTTACTGCCAGGTGACATTATCCAAACTTGTTTTAAAAAAAGAAAGAGCCTTAAAATATGCAACACCAAGAGGGACAGAAATAGGAATGGGTGATGGTAGCCTTTAGGCAGCGTATCCCCCGTGTTCTCTCTTGAAAGCTGGAGTCACGCACATCTCCGAGTGTGGGAAATGCGCACAGCCTGCCGGGGCTGCCGCCTGATGGACGGAGGGGGCAGGACCCCGCATAGCTCCTGAAGAGAAGCAAAAATGTGCTCACTCCAAAAATAAACAGGGGCAGGAATGACTATGAGTAAAGAGTTGGAAGCACGTGACTGGCGGTTGCAGTCTTGAAATACCAGCTTTCTACAAAAAGGAGCCAGTGAGAGTCAGAGCGCGGGAAATTCAGGAAATGGCCTCTTTATATGGTCTCATCCGAATGGGCCGGGATTCAACTAACTGGAATTACCATGTCAGAGGGAGCCTTTGGGGCCAGACTTGTTTCTGATCTTTATATGGTTCCCTAGATTCTTCAGATGCCAAAATAGAAAAGATGTTACAGTGCCAAAAAAGGAGCATTTTGAGTTTAGGAACTTCTCATACACTCTCAGAAGTCCTGGAGAAACCCCACCCCACCCCCAAAATATGAATCGGGCCATGAGTTCTGAATCCAAACAGTACCCTGTTTCAAAAAGCCAGTTCAAACATACCCACAAATCCCCAAAGGCATTTAGTTAAGCAAGATCCACTCCAAATCTCACACCCAACTATCTTCCACCTTCTAGGGGCAACCGGCTCCGGCGTTGTTCAAACTTAAGATTACTGACTGAAGACAAACTTCTCTTCCTTTCTCCAGCAGCCTGAAAGATCCAGGAAAGTAGTTCTTTACCTCCTTGATGAGAGAGAAGACTGACACCAAGTAGTACATGCATACACTTCAGGGGCTGTCAGCTACTCCTCCAATCTGTCCTCCACACACAGCTCCACCTCTGCCAGTTTCTCCTCCTGCCTCACCTCGAGTCTGACAACGACTGGGTTGTATTTTATTCTATGAAAAATGTGTCATGACTTTTCCAATAACCAAATAGTTTGTTACAGACATGTTTACCTATGGTGGATTTCAGTTCATGGAAGTTAATGAATCATCTATGCTTGTAACTGAACTCCTGTAAGTAAACATAGTTCTTCTGAGTTCAAATGTAGCAAACTGCAAGTTCTACTTTAAGCATACGACAGAAGACTGATCATCAATGGATGCTAAAACCACTAGGAAAAAGACTGAATAGGAGGGGACTGGGCATTCTATCTATGGTGCCAAAGAACTGCCTTACATGTTATGTCCTAGTTGCAAGGGAGAAGATACTCCTTAATGACAGAGGCATCTATCAATACTCTAACTCAGTGATTAAATTTAGCAGCGTGAACAGTGGGACATGCAGTGCCACCACTTGAGGTACAGAGCATCATCCAGGGAAGATGCCTACCAAAAATGTTTAGCTAAAATTGAGTCAAGCCTTTCAATCTTACTTCCAGCTTACTAGAAATTAAGAGAGAGACACATTAAATGACACTAGGATGAAAGAATCAGACAAATCCAAAATGTAGGAAGCCCTATAGAACAACAGGTCCTATCTTCACAAAGGCAATGCCATTATAAGGGTAGAGTTCTGAGAAGGTAGGAGATTATTCTAAGTTAAAAGAGACTTAAAGGAGAAAAACATAATGGTGTGGTTCTTTATTGGATTCTAATTTGGGAGAAAAAAAACCCAACAGCTATAAAAATATTTTGGAGAAACAGGAAAATGAGTATGAATGTGGTAATAAATGAGATAAGGAATTAGTGTTAGATGTAAAGATGTGGTTTTCTAGGAAAATGCCTTTTTTTTGGGGGGGGAGAGATTTTCACTATAGGGCGCGTGCGCTCGCCAGACAGAGAGAGACATTAGAGACAGGAAGTGAGACAATCACCCCCCCCCCCCGGGGAGGATGGTCAGGCCGCAATCCCTTCTCCTCCATTCTCCTCTCGGGATCTTGGGCGGGCACGCACGCACATGCGCCCGGCGTGAGTTTTAAGCCATCAGGTCCGGGACGTGAACCGTGGTCAACTACGTGGGAGTCCAGCGACATAGCCATTACGCTAACTGCTGGTTCCCGAAAATGCCTTTTTTTATGATATATACTCAGTCATTTAAGTAACATGCTATAATGTCTGTAATTTGCATTGAAATAATTCAGCAAAAACTTTATATAAAACATAAGTATATTTTAAAACAGTTTATAATTTAAGCAAATAAGGTAAAATGTTAGTAACAGCTGAATCTAGGTGACGGGTATATGTCATTTATTGGACTGTTCTTCCTACTGTTCTAGATTTTCTAATTTTAAAGAAAAGTTTAAACAAAACCAGAAAGAACTAAATGTATGAAGTTTAGGTTAACAAAGGAGAGAAAAGGCAAGGCTAGTATGGAGGAGGGTACCAGTATGTGGGTTGATCATGGATGGGCCTGCTCAAAGAACTAAGCTGAAGAGAAAGTGACATTTCCCAGTTAGAGGCTGGGAATTCCTAATGCCCTGAGGACCAGCACATTAGGTCCTGAGACCCCTGCCATGACTAGAAGTAACAGAAGAATGTGCTGCTCTCCATGCCCACTTCACTGTGGATTGTATTTTGATTGTGTATATGTATAACGTGAAATTTGGATAAGGAAAAAAATGTGACAGAAAGAACACCCAACTAGACACCAGGTAATCTGGCTTTCAGTCCTGTCCCTACTACTAACTAGCTCCATGATGCTGCAATTTGTTTCATGGTAGAAGTGATTGCTCCCAGTTCTACAACTCTGTGACTCCATAGTTCTATGAATTTTATTATTTTGAATTCAAGGAGAAGGTACCTAGGCAAAAAAAGATGTACATGATAACATAAAACATTCACTATGGATTTAAGCTGGTATGAAGGGGATGGGGATAAAAACAGAAAACAAGGCCACAAAGAAAAAAGACAATATATCAGCATAAAGAGTTGATCAATGATAAATAGGTCAATCTAGGCAATGAGAAAGACTATGCTAAGCACAGTTAATAACGATAATAATAACCAACATCTATGACACACCAAAACTATAAGAGGATTACTCTACTGAATCTCATGATCCAATAAAGTGGGCATACCACATACCAAGTTTACAAATGAGAAAACTGAGGCTTAGAGAGTAACTCCCTTAAAATTATTTATTTGTAAGCGATGGAGCAAAGATTCAAAGCCAGGTCTCTCAGACATCAAAGCTTTGCATTCAACCAGACATATATGACTTCTTAGCCACTGTGTACCTGCCATCTAGAACAGCCTTAAAAGGATAGAGCAGCCATAGAAAAGAATCTGTCTGGGCTGAAACAAATGCTCAAGAACAAGAGACAAGATCAATGCTATCCAGCCAGATATTCCAGATGAGACCTGGGGGGGGGGGGGGGACAGCGAGCAGAGTGTTTTTCTGAAAACAAAGTAAGATGTACCTATCAATGACATAAACATGTCCACTAGGATAGAAAGCAGTTTGGTCTAATTATACCCTTTTAGTAAGACAAGATGAGGCTTACACAGAGGGAAGGGTTAAAAGCAAAGTTGAGATTAAAAAGTGACCCCCAAAATAAGCTATAACAGCTTGAACACTGTGCAAAGCTAAATTCAAAAGAAATCTTTGCATTGGAAAGCTGCCTTTCCTTTGCTGCATGCCCCAGCAGTGGAGTAGCTCTGAAGGATGAAGGACTAAACTGAGGGGAGAGTGAGTTTGCCAGGAGTCATGGGGGAAAAGCTATCATTGTAAAGGTAGGTGAGGCCAGTCAGTGGCATGATGGTTAAGGTAGCTGGATTCCACATGGCCAACCATGCAATTTGAGTCCTGGACCCAGCAGCTTGAAAACTACACTGGCTACATGTGCTCGAGAGTCAAAATCCTGAGAGAATGGAGAAGGGAAGGTGGTATGGCCATCTCCCTGGGGGCAATTTCTCACACTCCTCCCCCTCAGTGAGTACACACACCCTATAGCAAAACTTCAAAAACAAATAAATCAATAAAGATATGCAATTAAATTGGAGAGATAAGGGAGGGGAAAGAGGAAGGAGGGAGCCCTGGGTTTCAATTCTAGAACTGTCACTTCCTAGCTGCACACCTGTGAGCTAGTCATACAAAAGAAACTTCAAAATGTTCACAAGAAAATGAAATTAAGTATGAGTTTATTTTAGTGCCAAAAAATTGGAATCCATGAATAGTTTGCTCATAACAGGCATTTTCCATGGACTTTTGGAAGACCCTTCATCTTTATAAGCCTCCTTTCCTCATATATAAAAGGAAAAAGATCATGTGTCCCTTGTAGATCTACTGTCCACAATAGAGACAATTTCTGACAAAGCAGACACTCAACAAATGGTGGTGATAGTGATTATTGTATTATTTATCAGAAGTAATAGCAATGAATCACAGACTTTGGAAGAGAAATCCTTAATGCCTAAAACTGAGATAATGCAAAGATTTTGGTAGTTACACATTGTAAATCCTTTTATTTGGGGGCTCCCTTGCACATGTTTCATTCCAAGAATCCAATTCTTACCTATTATAGCTTTAAAATCCTTTAAAGTTGCCAAGAAGAGGAACCCACAGCTCCACCGTTCACTGAGACAGAAATGCCTTGCTCAGGACAGCCGTGGTGTCTGGCAAATGCTCCAGTACTATCACACTTCCTCAGATATTCCCACATACCCTCGAATAAAAAGACTCATATCCCATAGCTCAGTGCAGAGCCATTAAACTGCCCACTGCAAGTGACTCATGAGACAAGGCTGCCAGCAGAGGCTGATCCAAAGAGAACAAATTGCCATCCTGAAAATCTTTTTTTTTTTTTCTTTTAGTTTTATTTGCCAGGGAGCACATGTACTTGCTGTGGGGAAAGAAAAAAAGAAAACACCCACGTAGGGATAATCATGCTGAAATTCTTTCTCCCCCATTTCTCCTTTCAGGATTTTGGGCATGCATACACATGTGCCCCATGTGTTTTTCATGTACAAACACGTGCCTCATGCGTTTTTCAAACTGCCAGGTCTGGGACTCAAACTACAAGGTTGGTCATCCGGGATCCAGCCACCATAACCACCAGGCTATGGGCTTGCTCTAAAAACCATTCTTAAAATTCACCCTATCTCGGGACCAGCAGTTAGCATAATGGCTATGTCGCTGGACTCCCATGTAGTCGACTGCGGTTCGAGTCCCGGACCCGTTGGCTTAAAACTCACACTGGGCGCATGTGTTTGCGTGCCCAAGAGCCCAAGAGAAGAATGGAGGAGAAGGAATTGTGGCGTGGCCATCCCCCCAGGGGGTGATTTTTCACTTTCTCTCTCTCTGGCAAGTGCACATGCCTTATAGCAAAAACCTCTCAAAAAAAAAAAAAAATTCACCCTGTCTCACCTCATGTACCCTTAGGCAATAAATAAATAAATAAATAAATACATATATACATACATACATACATACATACCATTCTGAATTTTCCTACCTTGGCTGGCATCCTCTTAATCTCAATTCCATCCCTTCCAGTCATCCTAAATCAGCTCTCTCCTCCTCCTCTTCTAGGGTCCATAGGCCTTCCAGACACTTATAAAGGTAGGCTCCATCCCCCCCCACCACCACTTTTTGCCATTCAGCCAATACAAACATTCTTTTCAATTTTCCTCATAAATCAAAGCCTATACATTTCTGTCATTCTCTTAACTCCTTTCCATTTGTTAAAATCAATCCAGCCTGTGTGTAGCCAAAAACACACATGATATTGAGGGTGTAAATTTCCAACACGCTAAGAAGCAACCTC